GAAATGGAAATGCAGAAGAGAAAAATAAGAAAAGATAATGCGACAAGATGAAAGAAAGGATATTGACAAGATGGTAGCAGAAATGTTGCAAATGAGAAACGGGAAAGAAAGAAAGAAAGAAAGAAAGAAAGAAAGAAAGAAAGAAAGAAGAGAGTTAAAGAGAAAAGAAAAATCTAAGAATGAAAAAAGAAAGGGCGTTAACGAAAGAAGAGAGATCTAAGAAAGAAAGAAAGAAAGAAAGAAAGAAAGAAAGAAAGAAAGAAAGAAAGAAACTATAGAACAATGTAAGAAAGGAGGAGCGAGAAAAACAGAAGCATTGAAGAGTCCGAAGGTTAAGAAAAAAGAAAGAAAAGAAATAGAAAAAGAAAAAAGGAAGAAAGAAATAGAAAGAAAGAAAGAAAGAAAGAAAGAAAGAAAGAAATGGAAATGCAGAAGAGAAAAATAAGAAAAGATAATGCGACAAGATGAAAGAAAGGAAATAGACAAGATGGTAGCAGAAATGTTGCAAATGAGAAACGGGAAAGAAAGAAAGAAAGAAAGAAAGAAAGAAAGAAAGAAAGAAAGAAAGAAAGAAAGAAGAGAGTTAAAGAAAAAAAAAAAAAATCTAAGAATGAAAAAAAAAGGGCGTTAACGAAAGAAGAAAGAAATAGAAAGAAAGAAAGAAAGAAAGAAAGAAAAGAAAGAAAGAAAGAAAGAAAGAAACTATAGAACAATGTAAGAAAGGAGGAGCGAGAAAAACAGAAGCATTGAAGAGTCCGAAGGTTAAGAAAGAAAGAAAGAAATAGAAAGAAAGAAAGAAAAAAGAAAGAAAGAAATAGAAAGAAAGAAAGAAAGAAAGAAAGAAATGGAAATGCAGAAGAGAAAAATAAGAAAAGATAATGCGACAAGATGAAAGAAAGGATATAGACAAGATGGTAGCAGAAATGTTGCAAATGAGAAAAAGGAAAAGAAAGAAAAGAAAAAGAAAGAAAGAAAAGAAAGAAAAAAAAAAAAGAAAGAAAGAAAGAATGTAGAAAAAGAGAAAAGAAAAATCTAAGAATGAAAAAAAAAGGGCGTTAAAAGAAAGAAGAAGAGATCTAAGAAAGAAAGAAAGAAAGAAAGAAAGAAAAGAAATGCGACAAAGAAACTATAGAACAATGTAAGAAAGGAGGAGCGAGAAAAACGGAAGCATTGAAGAGCCCGAAGGTTAAGAAAGAAAGAAAACAAATAGGAAAAAAAAGAAAAAAAGAAAGAAAGAAAGAAAGAAAGAAAGAAAGAAAGAAATGGAAATGCAGAAGAGAAAAATAAGAAAAGATAATGCGACAAGATGAAAGAAAGGATATAGACAAGATGGTAGCAGAAATGTTGCAAATGAGAAACGGGAAAGAAAGAAAGAAAGAAAGAAAGAAAGAAGAAAAGAAAGAAAGAAAAGAAAGAAACTAGAGTTAAGAGAAAAGAAAAATCTAAGAATGAAAAAAAAAGGGCGTTAACGAAAGAAGAGAGATCTAAGAAAATGAAAGAAAGAAAGAAATAGAAAGAAAGAAAGAAAAAAGAAAGAAATAGAAAGAAAGAAAGAAAAAGAAAGAAAGAAACTATAGAACAATGTAAGAAAGGAGGAGCGAGAAAAACAGAAGCATTGAAGAGTCCGAAGGTTAAGAAAGAAAGAAAGAAATAGAAAGAAAGAAAGAAAAAAGAAAGAAAGAAATAGAAAGAAAGAAAAAATGAAAATGAAGAAGAGAAAAAAAGAAAAGATAATGCGACAAGATGAAAGAAAGGATATAGACAAGATGGTAGCAGAAATGTTGCAAATGAGAAACGGGAAAGAAAGAAAGAAAGAAAGAAAGAAGAGAGTTAAAGAAAACAAAAAAAAAAATCTAAGAATAAAAAAAGAAAGGGCGTTAAGGAAAGAAGAGAAAAGAAAGAAAAAAAAAGAAAGAAAGAAACTATAGAACAATGTAAAAAGGAGGAGCGAGAAAAACGGAAGCATTGAAGAGTCCGAAGGTTAAGAAAGAAAAGAAAGAAAATAGGAAAAAAAAGAAAGAAAAAAAAAGAAAGAAAAAAAAAAGAAAGAAAGAAAGAAACTATAGAACAATGTAAGAAAGGAGGAGCGAGAAAAACGGAAGCATTGAAGAGTCCGAAGGTTAAGAAAGAAAGAAAGAAATAGGAAGAGAAAGAAGGAAAGAAAGAAAAAAAGAAAGAAAGAAAAGAAAAACGAAAGAAAGAAAGAAAGAAATGGAAATGCAGAAGAGAAAAATAAGAAAAGATAATGCGACAAGATGAAAGAAAGGAAATAGACAAGATGGTAGGAGAAATGTTACAAATGAGAAACGGGAAAGAAAGAAAGAAAGAAAGAAAGAAAGAAAGAAAGAAAGAAGAGAGTTAAAGAGAAAAGAAAAATCTAAGAATGAAAAAAAGAAAGAAAGATAGAAAAAGAAAAAGAAAGTAAGCAAAAGGTAAAATTTAAGTGAGGATCTACCCTTTTCCAAATGTGTTCAATCAACCTGCAGAGCATGAACTGCATAGCAACACTATAACTTCTGATTTCCTGACTACAAGCCGAGAGACAACACGACTGACAAAGGCATTATCAAGACGATAAGATCCATTCAGTGATATTATGATACATAACTTTCTGAAGAGACGATATCATATAAGAACAAAAGATGTCGCCTCGGGAAGAATGCATAATCACACCGAATTTATTTAACCCTAACAGCGAAGCGATCCTAGAATTCCTATCAGAATTTATTGGTAGGTACAAATACACAAATGACACCGCGAACAAAAATCGCATTAAAAAAAAAAGCTGCAGATATTCTGCGACAATGCAGTAAAGGAAAGCAGGAAGAAAGGACTAACTATCCTTTGTAAGAAGACAGAATGTATGGCTGTCAACAAGAAAGACAGCACAAGATACGAGTAACGAATCGGAGATATATGAATCAAGCAAGTCTGAAAATTATACATTCTGGAAAAAATCGGAGGGTGGGGGCATTGGAATTATCGAAAGATGCTTTCCAGAACCTAAACAAAATATTAACAAACAGGAAAATTTCTTTAGAAACAACGAAAAGAGTGCAGAATTTCGATGTAATATTTATCCCCTTATATGGCAGTGTGTGCTTGACAAATTTCCACACAGATAAAGAGGAGATTGATGCAACAGATGTTGTTCTACAGAAGGATGCTGAGAATACCACGGATGGAGAATGTGGGCAAAAAGGAAGATTAAAGAGATATATCGCGTGCCGGGTGTAAGTGGATGCCAGAACAGTGAATGGAAAAGACAGAGAGAAGACAAGCATTATTAAGAGCTAGGACAAAACATGAAGATGTGGCGAGCAATAATCCCCCGACTTAAAGGGACACGACACATAAAAGGGACATCTATAATCTGGATTAAGATTTGAAATCGGATCGGCATATATATGTTCGTTAATCACTAGCAACTACACTCATATAGACGCAAATTTTCTGAAAAGAAATATTGGTCTGTAAGTAGCTTTTAAATGAATTTTTACTTTACCAAGTCTTCTTCTATGTGCTGTTTGCATTCAGAACGTGAGCGACCATGGCTCTCCACAATTTCCTGTCCTCTGCCGCTCTTAGTAAAATCTGTCTTTTTGTTATCACTCCTAATCCCTATTCTGCCAAGTATTTACACAATTTCCTCCTCCTCTTCCCCATTCTTCTTCTTCTTCTTCTTCTCCCAGTTGACCTTCTGTTATTTCTCCTCCTATTTTTCTTTCCTTCACATATTTATCTTACTTACCTTCTTCTTCTTCTTCTTCTTCTTCTTCTTCTTCTTCTTCTTCTTCTTCTTCTTCAGTGTGCCGTCTTCAAGACATTGTCGTTCATAGATCTTTACAATTTCCTGTCCTCTGCCGCTCTTAGTAAAATCTGACATTTTGCTATCACTCCTAATCCCTATTCTGCCAAGTATTTATACAATTTCCTCCTCCTCTTCCCCCTTCTTCTTCTTCTTCAGAACATTGTCGACCATGGGTCTTCACAATTTCCTGTCCTCTGCCGCTCTTAGTAAGATCAGTCTTTTTGCTATCACTCCTAATCACTGTTCTGCGACGTATTTATACAATTACCTCCAACTCCTCCTCCTCCTCTTCTTCCTCCTCCTCCCCTCCTCCTCCTCCCCTCCTCCTCCTCTTCATTCTTCTTCTTCTTCTTCTTCTTCAGTGTGCCATCTTCAGGACATTGTCGTTCATAGATCTTCCCCTGCCGCTCTTAGTAAGTTAGTCTTTTTGCTATCTCTCCTAATCCCTATTCTGCCAAGTATTTACACTTACTCGTGAGGTAGGTTATTCGCTGCATGTCTCCGTCACACTTACCTTCAATATGCCTTGTGCGTGACATATTCTCCGAGACTTCATTCCTCATTATGTGCCCTAGAAATTTCAACTATCTCTTTTTGAATCTAAGTGTCGGTGCCCTTTTTGTCTGCATTTTCCTTGAAAGTTTTCGTTGCTCACATGGTAATCGCATCATTATTCCTTAGAAAAACCATTTCTGTTGCCTCAAGCCTTCTCTGTAAGTAGATTGCCCAGAATACTACCATATAGAAGAAACAATATCACATACTATTTCAGTACGTATTACCTTTCAGAGTTCAGTACAATAAGGATATTTTCCTGTTTGTTGATACTTTGTTTTCATTAAAAGACATCCTTCACTATTCCAATCCGTATTTTCGTACTTGCCTTGCCTTGTTTTGTTGCCACCAGTTCGTAGTTAGTATTTTGGGTTGTCCCCTTTGCTGACAACCATAAATTCTACCCTCTAACAATTGATGTTTAATCCTAGCTTTTCACTGTCGTTTACTAGATTCTGTATGTATTTCTGGGGTTTCCTTTCGTAAGATATACCGATGGCAAAGTGCTATCAGCGTGTCATCTGCATATCTCATGTTTTTAAGATTACGGCCGCCAATTGTCTCATAGCTTTTTTCTATTTTTGTGTATTTACAGAATTTATTCTCTATCCTAATGTAGGAAGTTTGCACCTAGTATAAGATGGGGATTAGTCTAATACATTTCCTAAATAAATAAATCATACCGAGCAGTTGAAATAGATTCCTGTGTCGCACCTTATCAAGCATTTTTGCATAATCTATAATTGCAAAAGTGCAGTATGCATGGGTTTCAAGACAAAAGCAACAGCCTAACATGCAAATTACAAATTGGAGGTACCAAACTCAAACAAGTACAACAATTTAGATATCTGAGAAGTGTTTTAACAGGGGACCGTAAAAGCGACACTGAAATCCGAAGGTGCAATGGGATTGCGAAAGATGCCTTCCAAAAGCTAAGCAACGTATTAATGAAACAAGAAAATTTCTTTATAGTCAAAGAAAAGAGAACTGAACTTTTACGTAATATATATCCTCCTATGTGGCAGTGAATGCTGGACAATCTCCTCACATATGAAGAAAAAATTTGAAAACAGCAGAAACGTGGTGCAACAGAAGGATGCTGAGAATACCACGGACCAGATATATGATTAACGATAATATTTTAGAGAAAATGGAAGCCAAAACGACACTTATACTTAACATCGGGAAGAGACCGTTGAAGTTTCCCACGCAGATAATGAGGAAAGAAGGTTTGGAAAATCTGATACTCACAGAACAGATTGAAGGCGAGAGGGTTAGCGGGAAATAATGCATAACTTAACTGGTGAGCTGGAGTAAATGGATGATGGAGAAAGATTTAGGAGAGATACCAAAAAGAAAAAAATATTAAGAGCTACAATGAACAGGAAATTGTGGAGAGCCGTGATCGCCGATATCCTGAATGGACACGGCACATAGAAAAAGAAAGTGATAGCTCTTAGATTCAATCTAAAAATATTTATTTTAACGTACTGTAAATATATAGAGAGAAGATAGGCGCAGTTTTTATTAAAAAATATTTTTATTATTAGAAAAAAAGATATGTCAAAAACTATGTGAAAAATATGTTAAAATAAAAATAAATGTTGCAGATGGTTAAATTTACGTCATAAGATGTCCACGGTTAACAAAGCATATTCGAGTTCGGGAAAAGAGAATTGACGAGACTTGGCGAGACTTGGCGAGAATTAATAATGACTCTTCATAGTTTTGATCCGATTTTGTCTCTCATCCGATTTCTTGTTAAGCCTTTGTCTTGTACATTTTTGAAATCTCTTAAGCGCGATGGTATAACAAATTAATAAAAACAAGTCGAGAAGCACATGCGCAAAAGAGAGATCATTGCCAACGAAATGAACATCGATTTCTTCATATAATTATAATAATAATACATCGAGGCGGTGGAGATTATAGAGTCACTGGGGACCCCTTGATATGTTTACTATGAGCTACGCCAGGGTTACATAAGGTTTGGAATTCAGTCATTCTTTTATTAGACTGATTGTCAGTCACGTCTAGACGAGCCAGTCTTCCCTATTATTTAACCCATATCTAGCGAGAGAAGAGGATTCATATCATTTTCACTCACACACACACACATATATATATATATATATATATATAAAGAAAGAACAGTAAGATATAAAATCCGGTGTTCTTATAGATATTTTTATTTTTACAAAATAGTGCTCAATGTAAATTTCAATTAATTTATAATATATATATTAAGAAATGGACAAAGTCCGACAATTTACCGGCCTGAATGTCCGAGTAATTTTCATAGAAAATATTCGTCTTTTGACAGGATTCGAACCTGCATCCTATACGGAACCTTCATTTACGCTGACGTGCCTAACCTTTCGGCCACAAAGGATTGAAGTTTATAAGCAGTAAATTCGACCTTGCCTACCAAACGCTCCTGTCAAAGGACGAATATTTTCTATGAAAATTTCTCGGACATTCAGGCCGGTAAATGTTATTTAATACTGTTTATTATAAACAGAGCATTTACTTAAATACTTGTATCTATAAAAAAGAACGTTAAACATAAAAATGTCTTTAATAAATAAATATGTATATATATACATATAAATATAGATAACTAGACTCGTTTCGAAAAACCCTTGAATTTTTGATTTGCTAATCAAATCAATCTCGAGGGAAAAAAAGGTTTTAAAAAAAAGAGCTACAAACATGAACTTCTGCCGACAAAAAATCGCACAGATGCAGGTCTGAAGCCCAAAGAAAAAACCCCGATACGAGTAAACAACTAACTAACAAAAGAGTTCAATACAACCGTATATTTGGATGGATAGATGTGAGTTTGTGACCCTGGGTTTCACGCTTTAGCGATCGTCAGACAAACTGATTAATTTTTTAAAAATTTTTGGTTTATGTAGATTGCGTGTATTGGTGTTATTGTGGAAGTGGTGGGGGAAATTTCGTCGCTTATGTCATCGTACTAACTCAAACATCGATGTATGCAGACACATATACATACTTGGTCGTCCGTATGTTAGCTCTATCTCTGATATTGAGCGCTTTCTAATAAGTATCGCGTATATAATATATAAATAATTATACATATATATATTTATTTATTTTTATATACACAC